CATAGAATTTTTGAATATAAATTATACCAACGATTATACATAACCATATACCAAACATGTTTTTTTTCAAATATAAATAATATAATTAGCAATAAATAATAACATTATGTCTGTATTTATTATATATGTGTTGATTGAAGATATTAATTATTAAAATCAAACCTGAGAGATCTTACAAAAATATAATATGATAAAAAACTGTGTATGTGTAGTATTTAATTAATAACATTATGGTTCTATTGTTATATTATATATTTTCAAGGAGTAAATTTTGGAATCTTGTTAGGGATGGTTCACAATATTTGTAGTTCATATTGATGCGGATAGATTTAACGTCGAAGAAGAGTGTACAACGATGGGTAAATAGCGATTTGTAGTAGCGATCAGAACCGTGGCAGCAGCAATACCAACAACTATATTATTACATATAAGCAAAAATAATTTACTACACAATAACTTATAATACAAAATAAATGAGCATACTTCACAACAACTTAGTGATTTGTGAGATTCTCTATCCCATCTTTAACTGATCTAAATTATTATCTCAACGCGCCCGCGGTCCACAAATTAATAAATTTCTTTAAATAAATCCTTTTTAAATTGTACATCCCCTTTAGTATTCATAATATGTTCTCCGCTTATCAAAAAATCATATTCCCTATCTTATTATTATTTAAATCTACAGTTTATGTAATTTAATTGTTGTAGTATTTATCTTGTATGTATATTAATTTATTTAAATATTTTCCAAATTAATACTATAAATTGATAAAAAATAATAATAATATTTTAGCACGTTGATAAAAATCATACATTTTTCTAAATTTATATTATAGTATTGATAATATTATTAGTGTTGTGTTTCGCATAAAACGGTACAATTTTTAGAGAACTCTTTTTCTAACTCAGAATAATAAAACGTGGAAATAAAGTGTAATGAATAAAAAAATTATATTTAAATATTTGTGAATTTAATCTTGATCCTCATAATTAAAAACTTTTCTATAGCATTATTATCCCTTCCATCAGTTCCATCACTTGTTTGATTAGAATAACGTAAACGATAATAAACAGCAACACAAAAAAATGTACACAATTTGCTTACTTAATATTATACTAATTTATACTTATGTTTTATGACACATAAGGACGAACTACGATAAAATATTTTAAGTTATAATGTATAATACAGTGAATGTACAATGATGTGCTTATGAATCGCTGGTATCAGTGTTATGGTTGTCAACGTCTCAACGGTATTTATAAACACTCATATATAAATGGTTTGTAGGCACTATGCATATAAGTACAATGACAGGATGATCGAGCGTAAAACACACCACCCTGGCCTCTCTAAACATAGGTATACTTATCATTATTGTTTTTTTTTCTATTGAAAAACTTTATTTTTCATGAAAGACAATAAAAAAAAACGATAAAAGTTTATAATAAACATAAAATTGACTCGTACATAATATTTTTTATTATGTTGTTTCAACTGGTTCATCGGTAGATACAGTTCTTCATCGTTCAGTTCTTACTTCTTTAACAAAATATTATTAATAATATTACTATATACGAGTATTAATACAACCGCTAAAAAATCAATGTTTTGCACAGCAAAGTTGTTTTGAGTCACATACATTATAGTTATTAGTTACAAATACGGTGTATACGTTTTAAGTATATAATACATAAATTATGCATAGTAAAATTATTTTGTTTTATGGTAACGTTAAGAAATATAGAAATATTAAATATGTATAGAGTGATTTACCAAGTATGCTCATCTCTATTTTTCCTATAATAATAAATGTATTAATTTTTTTTTTTTTCAATTTTTTTATGTATATTGACCATATTTTCATATTCTTGAAATTTTTTAGTACTTTAAGAATATCTTGTTGCATACAAAATAATTCTAAGCAAAAATGATCTGTCAGTCTACATCACTAAGTGCACATTATATATATTTTAATATTGCTATTAAAGTAATTTATTTTACTATAAATATTACAGTAGCATTAAAAACTTCTGATGCCTACAAAAAGTTAAAAAATAATCAAAATATTTTGAAAATAATACTATTTATAAAAAATTATACAGCAATATACAATTTTCAAGTATCTACGGTTTTTATTTTTGAATTACAACAAAATAACAAAAATTGTTTGAGGAGAAATGTAGTTATTTTACGGGTAATAATGTAATTTCGAAAAATTGTAACTTTAAATGCTTGTAACATTTTTTTGTAGGTTTATATTCAACATTTTTTTTGTTTCTATAAATATGAATTTTCATCAAGGACCTTTTATTCAATTTTATTTTTTTTTTAATTCAGCAAAAAATTTTTATCAACAATTAAAAATACTAAAAAAATTGAAAATTTCTCATGCTTATAAATAGTTCAAAAAGACCTATCATGTATACAAAATGATAACATATTTTAAACACTTGGTTAAGTTTTAAAGTTTCTACAATTATTCATTTTTGAATTATAGTAAAAGAAAGATATCGATTTTATAGAAAATTGTTTTGGTGTAAAATTATATGTTTTACCTTTTTTTTTTCGTTATTAATAAGAGTATTTATTTAATAAAAATAACCAAACTTAAAACCAACTAGGTGTAATTTACTATCAGAAACCATCCTCAACATAAAAAAAAAGTATCTTTACGGCTTAAAAAGGAGACAATAGGTCCAAAAACTCACATAATATCAATGTATTAAATATTCATCGTTTAGTTTAAAATTTAATAAAAATTAAACATGCTCGGTGGATTATTATATATATATAATATATTAAAATGTATATTTTTATCCGAAGAATATATGCGTTGTTGTAGTAAAACATAGTTTGAAATAATGGCTCAACACGAGCTATAGTTAAATATTGTTTATAATTACAATGTAACTAGTTTTTATTGATTTTATATAATATTTTGTAATATGACTATTAAAGTTAAGCGTTTTTTTACAAAAATTATAGTTTTACTATTTTCTAATATATTCTTTTAACAGATTACGATGAAGTTCACGTGAAATTTAGTACAATACACGAATAAATTGTTTCAAATAGGTAGCTTCCGCCTTCCGTGTTGATTATTAACCAGAATAAGAGATTTTTAGTAAGTCGTACAAGTTAGAAAAATCTTCAGATTTTTTAGAAAATGTAAATATAAATAAATAATTCATAATGGATGTTTTAAATATTTATACTTTTATTTTCAAATTTGTGATGCATTTTATTTTGTTTATCATATATATAGGCAACTAATATAACATTTTTATATATTATTGTGTGTGATAATAAAACATGGGGCAAACTGTGAAAATTTAAAATTTATAATTTTGTTAATAAATAATTGTTGAATCGGTTGAAGCATTAATTACAAAATCTTAATATCTTTTACGTTGAACAATAGGAATTTTAGTGTGTTGCCAGTGAAAATATATCTTATTAAAAAATTGCTTTTATGTTTATTTTCTAACGTTTTATCAAAGATAGTAGTGAACAATTTTTGAAAACAAAAGAGTGACTAGAGTTTATAATATTCTAGTTCTGTGAAGTATACTTTTGCATCATTTAACCAATATGTATTGTTTTTATTTAGGACCCATACAGATTTTGGATTTTCATTACTTACTATATTATAATAAAAAAAAAAATACTTTAATTCAAAATAATGTGAAAAAAATATTCATAATTATTTATTTTCAGATTTAGAATAATTTATAATCTGTTTTGTAATAACTCTATTATTTACAAACTTTAAAAAAATAATTTTTTTTTCACTTAATTTATTGTATTTTTTTTTTTTTACTCAGCTGTTCTTAAATATTTGTTTTTTTTTTTATAATAATTTTATGATTTTGTCTCGTAATACAAGCTTTTTGAAAGATAAACATATAATTGTATTTAAAATAATGCATTATGTAATTTTATTATGATTTATACAACAACAAAAAAAAAAATAAATAAATAATAATAATAAAATTATATGATAAAAATTATTAGAGATGATTCTAAAAATGTTAAAATCGTTGTTTAAATAATTTCATATCATCAATACGTTAAAATGTAGATACATATTCCTTCAAATTCTCACAGTTATGACATTTTGATTGATGTCATTCTTATTATATAAAAGCAGATAAGTATTGATACTAAGTACTTTAATACATGTATAGAAATAACTTAACTTATAATTTATTTGCATTGCAATTATGAAATGATTTGTATATCATCTATAAAAGACATTTTTGTTAACCAAATATAGTATAAAAATAGTAGTATATATCAATGATTTTTAATATATAATTACATAATATGATAAAAAATAAAGAAAAGGTATAGTTAATAATTCCAATAATACAATAAAAATGTATTAATTATTATAATAAATAGGCCATTGCAGGGTATTAACTATCTTTATATCTATTTATTATTTTATGCAATTTCTTTGAATGCTAATATTAAAATAAAAAATTCCAATCAAATTTAGATACTCTACAGAATTTCTATTTGATATTATAGCTTACTTAGATACTTTTATAGGTTACATATCATTCATTATAGTTATTATATCATTTGTGATAAAATGTTATTGATTCGTTTGAAAAATGAAAAATTTTGTATACTAAACTTAAGTTACTAAACTATGGTAACCAACCATGCATTATAAATATTTAAGGTTTTAAAATTTCATGAAATATTATTTCTAATCATTTATAACCATACACGTTTAGAAGAAGTAATAATATTTTTCAATATTTCATCGAAATATTTGTGAATTGTATGAAATTTTCAAATTCAGAACCCTATAAATATTATAATATTATTATTGTCTTAGATTTATATTTCAACTTCAGCTTTTTATTCCATGAATATCTGTGTTATCGCCATTAATGATAATTCGAAAGATTATTGTGGTATATCAATGATAACTGATAAGGTTAGGTTTGTAATTTCATATGACTTGTATATAATTTATATTCATTGTTTTTTTTAATTCAATTTAAGTGTAATAAATGTTAAATCTCTGTTTATTATTTATGAGTATTAATTAACTAAAATAATATAAACTGTTAACAGTTTGTATCGTTTTCGTGATGAAAATCACTCAGGTGCTGTACAAACAAAACATCGGTCGTCTCATTAAATGGCAATGGCGTGTTCAGCGCAAGAAGACGTTAATTGAAACAAATGCCGAAAAAGTTCTTACATCTCGTAATATACCTATCATTGATGCAAAGCAGTTTTTACACGAGCCGTTATTTGAAGCTCAAAAACAAGATGTCCAAGAAATATTTAACAATATTGTTGGACCCGTGAAATTGGAACCCAAACTAAACAATACACATCCACAATGGAATGATGATCCATGTCTTGTGTATGGTGACCATAACGTGTTGGTTCATGGACTGGAACAAGCTAAAGTTTTTACCAATGCTATAGAACCTGAACCTGGGTTACCGAAGTACTTTAAAGAGCTTTATGAAGCATATAGATTACCTAATCAAGATGAACACATCCAACGAATCATCATAGCATCAATTTTATATGATGCTGTCCAAGAGAAATTACCGATTAGAAAAGATCCAAAAAGACCGGCCTGGAAATTTCCTAGGGATTATGGTATCCCAGACAAAAGACGTAATAATCTAATTATCAGTAGGATGTTACAATTATGTGAATCAAGTGTTGGAAATATGAGTTCCAATAAAATAATTGCTAAAGATGTTTTTTTTAAAGTGCCTTTGCAAAGAAATGCAAATATAAGCCTTAATTTAAGGGCTGATCTGTTGCTACTATCTGATACTCCTTTAACTGCTCACATGGATGATGCTCAAGGAGAATTGCCAGATTTATTTCCATTGGATTACAAGATATCATTAGATGAAATTAATATTTATAATAAAGATGAGTTTATTTCACCTATTACAGGTAAATTTAACAACATTCATACAGCATTTATACATTTTAATGAGACAGAGGTTAAGAATTTGTATGAAACTCCTGTTTTAAATACACAAATAATTGCACGATCTTTGATGAAATGTTATGCTTTTGCTGTTGCCAATGCCAAATCTAAATATGGGGAAGATGTTAAAGAGTTACCAGAACCTATTACATTACAATGTATACATACAAATTCGCAATGGTTCCATTTTTCTGTTTTCCAATTGAATAGTTTGGCTGGTCCTGAAGAAGATGGAATAAAAAATATTTATTGGCAAACACCATTGTTAAATTTATATAAGAATTGTTTGTTTGATGAAGGTGTTCCAGTCCTTGAAGATTACAATCCAGAAGTATTCAAACATTTTTTATCTTTTTATATGAATGGTACTGAATATGAGATCAAGTAGTTTGTATTAGTTTTATAAATAATTTTCATACAATAAATTAACTAGTTTATTGAAAGTATAAATTTTTTTATTTATCAATTATTTATCTGTTACAACTATTTAAACTATTTTATTAAAAAAATATATGAGTAATACTACAAAAATAAGAAAACTATGAATGATGATTAAAATGTAAAATAGTATGTTTTAATGGATTATTGATTCTGTCGGTATTATTTAATAGAAACAATAATATAATTTGAATAAATTTAAAATAGTTATATTAATATTCAATTGATGATTATGTTATGAGTACTGAGTATTTGGAAAATAATTTAGTTTTAACAATTGGAATGAAAACAAAAAAAAGAAAACAATTTTAAATAGAAGTTATTTATAAAAAAAATAGGTCAAGAAATAGGTTAGCAAATAATATGTTGATATTGGGATAAATACATTTTGAAAATTTTTTGTATTTATTCTTATAAATTTTAGGTATGTGATAATAATTATTATTTATTAAAAATAATAATAAAACATTGTAAGACACATATTTTGCAGTTAGTAAATTCAAAAGAAACGAATTGCAGTTTTTTTTCTAACCATATTATAATAATATTTTAATTTTTCATATTGATTCGTTATAAGTTATAATTTATAACTTATAACTTAATGATTATGGAATTTTAGTAGATTTTATTGTACATATTAAATTTAATGAACATTTTGTTACTACATATTTAAAATTATAAATATTTTTCAGTGTTATATTATATTAGATAATATGTCTTTGCTTTATTAAAAATTTGAGATATAACGGAAAAATTAAATGAATCCATAGTTGGTACTTGTATAAATTAATTCTCTTTATTTTAATTATTCTTTTAAGATATTTTAATAGCACAATATTTGATACAACAAAACTATGCATTTTATTTACCTATTAATATAGGTAAATCCTTATGATCAAATAATTGAAATGTAATGACTAAAAATAGTAAAAAAAAATATATTTACTGTAGAACTACTGGAAAATTTAAACATATAGAATTAAGTACCTATAAATTATTCGTAAGACATATTTAGACTGGAAAAGCAGAAAAAAAAAATACATGGAACCAACTTTATATTTAGGCAAAAGTAAAAACTAATTATTTAAGTTTAGTTTTATTAAACATAATATTAATATATATATATAGTACAAAAAGTGTTGATAGTTTTATTAATTTTCTAATTTATTGCATTATAAACTTTATTAACTTTCAAAACAAATAACAAATAATTTATTAAACACGCTGTATTTATAATACAGCCTTACAACATCAACCAATAAAATTTAGTGTCAATTTCATAATTGGTAATAAATGGTATTAAAATTATGAAATAATTTGTAAATAGGTATTTAATAAAAAAACTAAAAAGTATCTATAACTAATAATAGGTATTTATGGTAATGGATTTATATTTTTTATTAATAATAATGGATACAATATTGATTTTATTGTTAGTCAATAGATAATTTATTATTTTATGTAATTTTAAAATATTTGAATTCCATTTTAACATTGAAATTATTAATCATTACCTATGTATTATTTTAAAATTATTTTTTTATGTCTCATTGAAATTAATAATTTTTCAGCTTTTAAACATAATCTATATTTTTAATTTGGTAAAAGCTATCTAAAATATTAAACATCATATTTTCAAATTGAATAAGTATAATTCTAATAATCTAATGAAGGCAATTAGGCAATGCACTAAATGAAAAATAAAAATTCTTAAATAATTGAAGATAATCGATGTTTATTGCCTATGCCTATTGGGTAATTATTAAAGTAGTTTTCATTATACTTTATAATAGTTCACATTGGGCTTATTCAAAGGGTAAGTAACTACAAAAGAATTTTTTTTATCATTCTTGAATTTTAGCTTATTTACAACAATAATGGTTTTCAGATTTATTAAATAATTGTCCTTGGATGAATAATCAAAATTATAAAGTTTTATGGTTATTCCAAATTATTATAAGCTTTTAGTTCTTATATTTTATAAACGGATAATAATAGGTACCTACCTATTTATAACTATAAGCTTTAATTAATATTTTTCTTAAAAATTAACAATAATTGAATAACAAGACATAAGTTATAATTTATAAATGGTTTAATTTTTAATCGATTGCCTTTCAAATTAAAATATTTAATTTAAAATCCATGTTTGTATTACAATTTGTCTAAAGACTAAGAATGAAATTAAAATTAATTATTTTTATATTTTTCTAGGCTATTAAATTTCTTGTACAATATAACAATGTTGTGAAAAAAAAATACATAACACAAAATATTTTACTCTGTTATAGATAATAAAAATAGAAAATTGTAATTTCAATGATAATAGTTTTACCCATAAGTACTATACAATGTTAACTTTTGATAAATAACTTTAATATTATTTTAGTTAGGTATCGTATATCTACTTGGATAGTGGATAATTATTCTCTACCATGACTAATCTGCTTATAATAAAATTGATGGTACCTATAGGTATAATTAGTGGCGGATTTAAGGGTCGTTTAATCGGCAAATGCCGATGAGGCCCCCTCCTTCATTGTGTACTGAGGCCCACCTAACTTATGTAATTGATTTTTTTTTTAATTTTGACCAAAAAAAAAAAAAATTGTATATTTTAAACTAGAATAATATAATTTACTATTGTTTTATTAATAAAATAATTCAATTATTTAGAATTACTTCAGTATATACGTAAATTTAAGTAATTCAACATTCTACATTTCTTCGTAGTAGCTAATGGGCATTGATCACAAATAATATTATTTATAATAACTATAATCGATGTTATAACGTAATCAATTACGCTGCATTTCGGATGCGGTCTTCCCATATAATACAAATTAAAATACACCAATACAAAGTAGGTAGCTACTTTGTTATCGTGTAAACTAAAATAACCATTAAGTATCAACAGTCGTTTGTGTTTGTGACTACTAAAATAGTAAAATCTATTATTTTAATCGTTTGATTCTAATTCGACGTAGGTAACAACAAGTCGCGTGAAGACGCAATCAAGATTGAATGGCAAATAAAAATAACAATTTTGTAAGTATAATAATATTTTCATTACTTAATCAGCGGCCCTGTCACGTAAATTATGATTTATTGAATACCGTTTTCGCGATAAATTCGCCAAGTTGCAAAGTATATAATATTGAAAAATATGATAAACAGAGCCGTGTAAAAATTGCATATTGCATATGTTTATACATTAGGTAACCATTTAACGGGTTAGGACATTGTTTTCGCCGCAGAATAAATATAAAGTTTTTGTTGATATTATTATAAATAGAGGCAGTGAGTAGTTACCTCCATAACACCAATTGGTATTTATTTGTATTTCTACATTGTATACCATTAACTCGTCGTTGGTTCATATATTATAGTTTGTACCTAACACGATTGCTACACTGCGGCGTTCATGCTTTACTTTTTATTTTATTATTAATTGATCGATTAACTTAAAGAATCAAATTATACCTAAACATATGTACTTTTTTATCCTTTAATAAAAAGTAAATAAACATTTTTTGTGTACAGTTTATATTTTATAAAATAAAAATAAAAAACATTTTCTATTACTTTTATAAAAAAAAAATTTTGGTTGGGCATTGTTTTCGCGAGCGATTTGGTAAAATAGGGGTAAGTATGTTACTGAAATAGTTTACGAGGCACCTCTTATGGATTTGCCGACTTTATTTGAACCTTTAAATCCGCCACTGGGGTATAATGATTAAACCATGATTTCATATACATTATGTTTTTGGTAGCTTAATTAATTATTTATATGAACATACCTACCTAATAATTTAGGTATAAATAAATAAATAGGCACCTAATAATAGTTTTAACTTAAAATTGTTTTAAGTAGGTAGTTTATATTATTGGTGTTATATTTGTACCTGGATAATCACTAATATTGGTATCTATTAATATAAACAATGTATAAATATTTTGTTATTTTTTTTATTGGTCTTTATTACAAGTTTGCAAAGGCCATTGCCCATTAGTTACAATTCCTTAGATAATATACTACTATAATTATTATTAGTTACACTGTTATAGTATTTACAATAGATCGAGTTCATTATAATAATTATAGTTATATATTATACTATATGTATATTATGTTGATAAGATTATTTAATTATAAAAAGTAAAAATTTGCTTGTTTTGTTCAAGGTTTGGAGTTTTGGACCGAAGGTATAAATATTGAAACGAGTGTATTAGTGTATACTATACCAAGATTTAGAGAGCTACTCGATTATGTTAAAATCGTTGGCATTCCGTTAATATATTTTATTGAGAGCAATGATAGCATAATAGCATATAAATTATTATAATAATTACTTTAACTACATATATTATATGTTATGTATTATGGTAATTAATAAATCATTATGTACAACCGATTAAACAAAAACTATTGAAAACTCAACATTTCTAAAACAATTGTTTATGTGTTACCCAGTGACAGATTCTGGGAGGGGCAACAGACCAAGCTTACACCAGAGCTTATATCTCACACATAATCATAATATCTAATAATTATTGAATAATAATAAAATTTCGAAAATTATTTGAGGAGAAATAATTTATGTTACGGATGAATATGCAACGTTATAAAAATTTGAACTTCAGACGATCATAAAATATTAATCTGACTGGCAGATTTTTTTAATGTAAGTTAAAAATTTTAAAAAGAATATACTTTACATTTTTAAATGTTAGTTATAACTTATAAAATAACAAATTTTATGAATTTTTACTACAAAATAATTTGAAAATGTTCAAAATTTTTAATATTTTGTTGAAATTCTAAATTTAAACGTTCTTATATTATATTAAAATATAATAACTTTTGAAATTAGACATTTTCGATATTTTGTAAATGGTAAATTATCAACTTATTCCTATGTTAAATCTTATATTTAATTTTTAAGCATTTTTATCTAATGTAAATTTTTGTTATTGGAATTTAAAAAAAAACTAAAAACTAGAAAAT